ATACCTGTTGGGTATAAGGTGCCGGCACAGGTGGCACGTCCATTGGCACAAGAAGTTGACATAGTCAACAATATGAAAAACATTCTGTCATATTTTGAGGGACAGCAAGGTCAAGGTCAAGAAGCTGCAAGTTATGTAGCTACTAGACGCAGTCAAGCTGATACTCAGGAACAGCAGGGTTTCTCGTAGGTTCAAGGATTGAGCGATCTGGTAGGAATGCGGTCAATACCAGAAGTAAGAAAGCTCTTGAGAACCAAACTAAAGCCAAAAACCGCAGACAATTAGCAGAATTCGAAGATTCTGATGATGAGCAAGAAGTGGAGGAAGAAATTCCTCCTGTAGTAATTAAGAAAACCCAGAAAGCTATACCAAAACTGAAAGAAAAGCCTAAACCACTTCTCCCAAGGGATGATGAAGAGGAGGATCCAGTGCCTAGGCATAAACAGTTACCATACTTAAATATTCCTGACCTGAATGATCCAAGACAAAAAGAAGAAATAAAGATTGATAATTTTGAGCCAATTATTGATACTGAGAAAAGACCTGTTTCTTATAAACACCAAGCACCAATTGAGAATGTGACACACGAGAGAGAGGCTTTAGCAAATCTCTATAATGCCCCAGTTACACTGACGGCAGAGACTTTGATAAGCATTTCCCCAGGTATTAGACACGACTTGATTAAAGCTTTATCTAAGAAAAGGATGCCAGTACAACAAGCTCAAAACCGAAAAGTTACTATGATGGAAGAGCCTGACGTTGATGTGGTACCGTTAAAACCTACAAAATTTGAATTGGAGGCGGACGCGATATCCATTAACGATTTAAATATAAAAGCGGCTTTTATAGTAACAACAAGAGATGAAGGAAACGTGCCAAAAGGGTCTATCGTCATCAGTGATCCAGTAGCGCAATACCTGCAGAGTTTAGGTCCGTCTGAGAAACCAAAACAAAACTATGTTGCAAAAGAGTCTCATGCGTTACAAACTGTCTTCCCAGTGATTAATAGAATGGGACAGATCAAATGTTTGTTAGATGCTGGTTCTCAAATTATTGCCATGGATGTGGAAGTGGCTAAGAAATTGGCCATCTCATGGGATCCAGACATAAAAATTCAAATGCAGAGTGCAAACAGGACAGTTGAACAGACCTTGGGTCTTGCTAAGAATGTACCTTTTATCTTTGGAACTATAACAGTATATCTACAAGTCCACATCATCACTGACCCAGCATATAAAGTGCTATTGGGCAGACCATTTGATGTATTGACAGAGAGTACTGTCCA